TCCGACCATCGCACAAGACAAACATATGGGGCAAATACCTTGCCAGAAATGCAGATAAATTTAAGAAGATAACGTGATATTGCTCTTGCAAGAGCATGACATCACCTGTACGTGTATGTTCTGGGCTAACTATTGCCACAGCTTTTCACTTGGGCAGCAATATGTCCATTATTATTGTTGTTGTTGTTATTATTAGCTTCATGCGGTATATTGTTTCGACCTGAGGCAGTACTAACCCGGAGCCTAAATGTGCCACTGGTACTGTGCACCTTGGACCGATCACATATTGTGCGCTCGATACGTTACGGACTTCTCGCACACGCACTGGAAATTTGGCACAGGGACACCGGCTACCGGCCGGGTCAGAATACGAACCAATGGTAACTTTTGCCGACAAAAGATCTGTTAATCGGGTGCTGAGGGAGAGCGTGCAAGCACCTCATCCTAGGTTGACCAGCTACAATCAGGCGTACTGTTGGTGACCTCTAACACTGACACTCTCATCCCTGTCTGCCTTTCGTTAACAGCAATGTGTCAACCTACTTGGGAGCGTATCTGTCCCCCGTAGACGCACAAATCTAGCTTTGTGCTTACATCCAGGGAGTCCCATGGGCTAATGTCCTAGGACCAATGAGAGTGTCATTGCTAGTGCGTGCATGTAACCCCTCAGGGAATGCATTTATGCTCTCGTGAACTTGAATGCGCAAAACGTTATTTTGCTTTTTGTAATACGCTAACTTATTAGCACTATACGTATAGTTTCCTGTGCAAAGGTACATATAGTATATACTCGGAAGTTCCTAATGATCGTGTCTGTTCCCAAATTTACCTTTTATCGCGTTCCCCAGTTTTACGTGGCTCGAAGACTCTCCATTGACTAGTGGCCCCACAGGCACAGCAATAGGTCGGACATCCAGGCTTAAGTCCATAATACGCAGCCTACTTTGACCTGAATACTTTCTACTGACTTTATACGGCCCCACTGCTTTCATGTTAGTTGGACCGTTGGCAATTTGGTTGGCCCTATTATCTTTTCGCCCATAACTCCAGTTTCCTTTTAACTGCAAGTGTGGAACGGCTGTAACATTGTTATATATATATATATATATATATATATATATATATATATATATATATATATATATATATATATATATATGGTTGGCGGCATCCGGTTTTGGATTTGCCTGTCACTGTGGCAAGCCACAGGACGCCTGCGCCTACAGAGGGACCATGGATGGCTTACGCTGCACCACCCACAGCTCCGACCACATACCCCATATCCAGTGTAAACCCGAAGGAATAAGACCGGGAGGCATGCGGATGGGAACCACGTTTCATCAACGGAGCCGGCCCACACTCCTTCACAGGCAAACACAAGCACGCTGTATTTGGGGAATCAACCGCACACAAGGCGGTGGCTGGACCGTAGTCCGCTCCACACTGAGTGCATGGAACCGCTCTTTGATCCTAGCACGGCCACAAGGACCGTGCACCCCGTCCCCTCCAGCAACGACCAACTGTCTCCTGGAGCCAGTATGGACGATGTAGTGGGTAATAGACAGGTAGGCACCTTGTCAACATACACATCAAGCACAGCCACACCGGGGATATCAAACAACAGCCATTCACTTTAAACGAGAAGCTGAAATAAAATAAATCCAATAATGCATACAGATACGGTGGCAAAACTCTTCGCTAAATTACCATATGAAGTAAGTTGGTTAGCAACAAATCCGTGATAAGTAAGAAATGTCCACAAGTTACTTAAAATGCTACAAACGCAACAAAATTACCGAAGATAAGCGCAATTAGTGCAAGCAACGTGGCCAGTTAAGAGAAGGTTATTCAGGTAGGCAGAACAAACCAAATAAAGCGGAATGAAATTTAGCCAGCTTAAAAAGATATATAAATATATGTATATATGTATATATATATATATATATATATATATATATGGTTGGCGGCATCCGGTTTCGGATTTGCCCATCACTGTGGCCAGCCACAGGACGCCTGCGCCTACCGAGGGACCATGAATGACTTGCGCTGCACCACCCACAGCTCCAACCACACACCCCATAACCAGTGTAAACCCGAAGGAATATGACCGGGAGGCATGTGGATGGGAGCCACGTTTCATCAACGGAATCAGCCCACACTTCTTCACAGGCAAACACAAGCACGCTGTATTTGGGGAATCAAGCGCACACAAGGCGGTCGGTGCACCGTAGTCCGCTCCACACTGAGTGCATGGAACCACTTTTTGATCCTAACGGCCACAGGGACCGTGCACATCGTCCCCTCCAGTACCGTCCAGCTGTCTCCTGGAGCCAGTATGGACGAGGTAGTGGGTAATAGACAGGTAGGCACCTTGTCAACATGCACATCAAGCGCAGCCACACCGTGGATATCAAACAACAGTCAATCACTTGAGAGAAAGATAACAAAGAAAATAAATCAAATAAGACATAAGGAAACGGTGACATAAATCTAAAATTAATGAGCATATGAAAGAAGTTGTTTACAAGCGAATCCGAGATAAGTTCACGAGGTCAGAAAGTATTTTACTGAAATGTCACAAACACGGAAATGTTATCGAAATGAACTATAATTGGCTTAAACGACGTGTGCAATTTCATATATGACAGTACCGGTAGACATTTAGATGGGAAAGAAAAGCATTAGGACAAAATTAAGAACCCACCACCTGAAATATACTGAGCATGCAAGCACGCGGTTAGTAAATCGAATGCAGCGTGCCTACAAACGCTGCGCCGGTTCTGCCTACGTTCTCTGCCTTACCCGTCGTCGCTTCGGTAGTGGTCCCGAGTGGCCTGGCTCATTGCTGACTAGACCTGCCTGACTCAGGCACTCGCGACCGCATGTGCTACAGCACCATGCGCTGCATGTCCACGGAGTACAACCCATCGGTGCTTGCCGCCTCTGCACTTGCCGCTTCTTCTCTGCATGCATGAGGTCTTTCTCCGGCACTTCGGCAACTGCCTTCGTGATTAGATCGCACCATGCACGCCGATCAACCGCCTTCAATTACAATGACCTGCAATCAAGATTGGAAGGTGAGAGGCTCACTTTGATCATGTCCTGTTAACGTAACTTTGGTTTCCCCACATGCCGCTTCCCAATACCCAGCTGGCTATATGATGGTTGCTTCGGGATCCGCGTTGAATCCATACGGCTCACATGACCGAGCCACCTCAGATGTCTCAGCAAAAGTATGCAGCCCACTGCATACATTCCATTTTGTCGCAACACTTCCGTGTCAGCAACTCTGTCGCCCCAGCCGATTCGCAGAATGCGTCGCAAACACTGTTGGTGGAACCGCTCGAGATATCGCACATCCCGACGGTACAACGTCCACGTTTCACTGCCGTATAAAATCACGAACAGCACCATGGATTTGTACACCATCAGCTTCGTGCCAATGGTAAGCTGAGGGTTGTTCCATGCTCGGTACTCAAGCTTCCCGAATGCCGCCGCTGCCTTCGACACGCGGATATGAAGGTCACTGTGTATCTGCTGGTTAGTCGACATCACACTCTAAAGGTAGCAGAAGCGGGAGGTGGTGTACGTCTGGTACTCATGATTCCCCACATAGTAGGTAGACGGGAATGCTTCTGTTCTGCTCCGTTGACGAAATATGGTTTCCATCCACATGACTCCCGCTCTTATTCCTTCGAGTTTACAGTGGGTACGACGTTTGTGGATGAAGCTGTGGGTGATGCAGCGCAAGCCACCCATGGTCCCTCTGTAGGCGCAGGCGTCCTGTATCTGTCCTATGGTGGGCGCTGAGACAGATAAATCCGGAATCTGATGCCGCTAACCATGGTTGTATTGCAGTGAAGCATCGGTTTACATTGACCATATACTGATATTGGTACATATGCAATCTCAGACGTTTGTCCAGCGCATTTGAGTTAGGTGTTCACTCGCTTCCACCCCAACCTCCCGGATATGATCCCTGTGACTGAACTGACTGTTACGGTTCACTCTAGCGGTCCTATTTGAGATTGCGTGTCACAGCGCATTCACATTACCAGTATACCGGTCAGACTGACTCTCGGCTGGTGTCACGTATATTCGCCCATCAGCAGTGATATATATCTTGAGAATGTAAATGATGTTATTGGATAGGTTAGTTTGAAGCAGTCTTTGTGTGTGAATAGATTTCGATCCCGACAAGGTTTGCTCCTGCGCGATTTGATGGTTTCATGGTATATACTCCGGTTTCCAGTCGCAGTTGGGCTATCTCTGATGCTTGCAAATGAGTACGAGAATACTCACGGAGTACGGCATTGCTGGCGGTAAACACCCAACATTTATGGGTTCTTCCTTAAGGCGGAGCTTGTTTCTCACTTACAAGCAACTCGACTTTATCTGATTTCTCCATGCTTATTCACTGTGTTCAAATGCGGCTGTGTGTCATTCATCGTGAGACTTTCTTGATCTCCCTGTTGACGCAGGTGTCGTGGTTGTTTGCGACTTCAACTACAGACAAATATGGGAACTTATTCCACCAGCCACGATACCCGACTCACGGGGTTCTTCTGTTAGTTAAGCATGAAGGTAGCAATTTGTGACGAGTATGAACTGGTCAACTGAGTAGTCGAATTTCTGCCTACTATTATTGCGTTTCATTTCATAATGTTTATTTTATTCGCGTTTTCAGTTCATCCCCTGGTCGGTTCGAAAGCAACACAACTTTGCATCTGAGTGTTTAGTCCTACATTGTTTTCCTTAACTGTGGGAAGTTGCTGCCTCCCATGCATGTTTGCAGTGCATGTTGATTGTACGGTTATATACAGATTTTGTTGAATATAATGTGTGATTCCTTAGCCACTTAACATAAACGTTTGGGATTTTTTACTTGATACTTTTATTATGTCAAGTGAAAGCTTTTTTGTTGTGATTGTGAACGACTAGTCATGCGATAAACATCCCTGGTACGCGCGACTATAAATACTTGTTTTCTCCCCATGCAGCCCATGTATACGAAACGAACGCGATGACTCCCGGTGATGCACTGACCTTGATTCCCGTTCAACCAATTGGGTACGATGACGCGGCTGTGATTCTTTCACATCTTTCCGGTCCTCCAATCCCTACTCAATGGAATGGATGCTTAGCAGCAAGACTAGGACCTTCTGTTGACAGGTATCCACTTGTTCACCCTGATTGCTATTCGTACTATCCTCACTGATTGCACGTGCTTCCTAAGTGCAACAGACAGGTGATATCAGCAGTGTTGCCGGTGCGCTTCCCTGCCACTCGACCGCCAACAGTCGCACGGGGGCTGCGGAAACTTTGGCGTCGCCCGCACCTACATAGCTTCGAACCGGTAACCTGTGGCCTCGGGATGGTCCGCACCAATGGTTGGAGACAGTATCAAACATGACGCAGTCGCGCACTCAGTGACGTACTTGCATTCCGTTTTTTGTATCTATGTGTTAATTTTCGTTCCGTTCTGGTTAGTTAAACATACTTCCTTCTTGCTTCCATTTTCTATGCCCTCTATTTGCCAGCTCGCCCCTTAGCCTAAAGATAAGGAGCTTGTCTTGTAACCTGAGGGTGCAGGTTCGAGCCTGCCTAGGGACCCGACGACCATCGCAGTATCTTAGCCCACCTGCAACTGGTAGTGATTGCGCGACAGCGAAGCGTCGATACTGCGTACCGGCGTACTGGTGATACCTTTTTCGCTTTGAACCCCACTCTTTTGCCATCGTCATGTATTATTATTCTCTACGATGTGAGTCGTGACAACTGGCTCCACCGTACTCCGGTGCTCGGTTCATAGTTGATCTACTGGACTGTACCGGTAATCTGTGTATTACTAGGTTGACCTGAACAAACGGACACGAAACTTGTGCACAATAGAAAACGCACACGGCGAATCGTGCACACGAAAAATTAGTTGCAAAGGCCGGCAAGCATTACAAGTACGATTAAATTATGTAGTTATTTGAAAATTTGGTTACGATATTACCATTTATTTCAGCATAAATGCTTCATTAACAGCTTTTTCCAGGACAAATTAATGTGAAAGTGGGGGTTTTTTCTTCATCAGCATTTTAAAGCGATAGGTCCAGAGATCACTCCAGAGGAACGGCATCGTGAAGGAACAAGCCTTCATTGTGCATATGAAATTGTCCCGCTACAAAATGACACCTGTGAATCATGCAGTCTAGGGAAGCGGGAGTAGCAGCGCGCGTTGCAGGTGTGAGAGGGATCCGACCGTGGACTTGTTTTTCGGTTCAGTCAAACCACTTGTCATGTGGACATTCTTTCATGTGTAATACCATTGGTCAGACACTGCCGGCCAGTGTCACGCAGAGCTGGACGCGGTCACCAACATCAGCAACGCACAGAAGAGGTAGCCACGAACTCGGTCTATTCATACCAAGTGTGTTCAAGCCGCCGAGTCGCTGAACCTTCGGCAGACTGCAGCCAGACAGCGGTACTCTCTCTGTTGAGTATTAGGACTGAATCACGGAGGCTTGGGCACTTAGAGCAGTCGAATGTGTAAACTGATCGAACAAGCATATTTCCGTGAGCGCACTTTTACGTGTGCACATTTTTTCATGTGCGTAATTTTCCGCTGGCGCAATTTTCATGTACGCTTTCATTTTGGATCCTATTACAAGGCAGGCGCGCAGTACTTTCGGCCACCGGCCGACAAGGTGTTTAAAATGCGAGACGCTGTATCCTTTTGAATCGCACGTTTTCCAAGTAAACATTGGCCGCTTCAGTCATCGATTGCATCCAAAGCTACTGTTTTTCGGCGTTCCTCACTTTCACTGCCCTACTCTACGGTCTGATTCTTCTGTGTTTGTACTCTATGGATACAGGTAACCCGATTCAGGAACTGGACCCGAAACTCGATGTTCCGTGACAGCATGTTGGTCGTTAAACTCCCCGGCTTCACTAAGGTTTTCATCATGTAAAGATCGAGTGATGCGATGAGTCGCGTTCACTGGTGTGCTACGCGTTTAGAATGGGAACCGTTGAAGTATGGGGTGTCAAAGAACATTGCGAATCGAAAGGAATGCAGGGGGTTGGGGATTTGCTTCATTCTTTACTATTCTTTTCTCATGTGGCTTTGAAGTGTCGAGATTGACTCTGGCCGTAAAATGTGGGAACGTGCTAAAACTGTGGGGTTCATTTGAGGGCAGTATGTTTTTTTCAATAAATTTTCCACGTGCACATGAAACTGCTTATCGAGACTTTTCCATTTCTCCATTGCTAAACTCACTCGTAAGCACATTCCGCAACAACTACGCTTGAGTTTTTAACTGTTTTCGCTGCGGCACTAGCGCTGAGTTAGATTTTTATCTGCTCACTGCACTTTCAGAGTACCATTTTTCTGCATTTGCCAGTCAACTACAAGTCACGGTGAATAATGCCGTGTCCACAGACCGCGTTCGCTGCGTCAACGTTCTCGGTGTGATCCCAGGTGATGTTTCTGCAGATGATTCGGACCAATATGTTCTCTATGGATGTCACCGTGATACTTGGATTGAAGGAGCTTGCGATCCAGGGTCTGGGACGGCCATTCTGCAGCAGATCTGTTATACACTGGGTTTAGCCTACGAACGAGGTGGGATCTCTATCTTGCTTGCTCCTTATTGCATTTTTCACCTAAATTTTTCTTCTACCCCTAGGAGAAACGTAGACACTAAGCTTTAATCGAAGGCTGTTTTTGGTTAATCTTGAATCTTGTTGGAATACTATTCGCTAAGGTAGATCTGGTTCATACGAAAGTACACGACCATTAGTGTAAACCTGTCTCAAGACCTTTTATGCATGCGAGCAAATCGGTAGCTGTCCTTAGATTCAAAGATAAAATGCCCAGTTACCTTTAATCATTGGGGATATACGGTTTCACCTGCTGTTGTTCAGTCCGGCATGTTGTTCACACGACCAAACGTTTAGGAAAAATAACACCCTCTACAGAATTGCCTCATCACTTTGCGGGACATAATTAATTTGAACACCATAACTAGCCTTCTAATCAGCATTAGACAAAATGTACCGAAGAAATGCCTTATAAATCTTGTATTAGGTGCCAAATTAACGGAACCATCTGGTGCCTCCAAACTTCTCACGGGTATCATTCTTCGACGACTTACTGGTCCCCATGAGAACCGAGTCACTGAAAGCCAGGCTGGCTTCCGTTCTGGTCGCGATTTCACCGACTACATTTTTACTCTTCGCCAAGTATTAGAGCAGCGACACATACAACGGAGCGACTATGGTGGCTTTCCTTGACTTGAAATTCGCCTTCGATTCTGCTGACCGCACCAGCTTTCGGCGCTGCCTATTCAAGAAGGACTTGCCAGCCAAATTCCCTTTCATTATGCAGTCTCTCTATCGTGACTCCCGAGGCCGTGTAAGGATTTACGGGAAAGTGTCTCCTGAGTTCCGTACGGAAAATGGGGTTCGCTAGGGTTGTCGCAGATCTCTCTTTCCTTTCAACTTTGTTATCGAAGCGGTCATGAGTGAATCCGTTCCTTAAGACTACCGGAGTGTAAGTTTTGCCAGGTGACCGATTGACAAACCTGGAGTATGCAGACGACATCCATCTTTTTCGGTCTGACGCTGTAACTACGCAAACACTACTGCACAAGCTGCTGTTTTCGCTGCATGCCTCGGCATGTGTTTTGCACTGTTGAAGTGCAATGTACTGCTGCAGCGCTAGACCGACACACCATCAGTTTTAACTATTATCAAACAGCCACTGGAAGTGATGAATTGGTTCGCCTTCATTGGTATCTGTGTCATGTCTGATGATCGCATCACTGATAAACTTATTCTCCGTACCAGCAATGCCTTTGTGGCTTTCCAGAGGCTCAACCCTCTCTGGAAGCGGCAGAATATCAGCTTGTCTTCTACAGTTCGTTGAAAATGTCTACGACTGATAGCACCGGGACGAAACGATTCAGGGAGATTTCGTCCAGCCTTCTGAAGTCCAGGAAAAAGCGACACTTCCGATTGGCCTTTTTCACCAAAATAACAGGGGAGTTGTACGGGCTGTAAGCCTTTTCGATTGCAGTTGCATTCAACATCTGCACCTGCTTTGTGTATGGTATTCCCCTGTGTGCATGCGGCCGTTACAGTTGATGTGGTAGGGTACTATTTGTTCGATTCTTACAAACCTCGTATTGTCTACTATCGTCCATGAATAGGGTATACTACTTGCCTACGAGCAATTGTAGGACCGGAATAGTGTGTAAAACCGCCACGACCGGGCGCCCGTGGTATACCCCCTATTTCGTCATCAGCTTTCCTCGTTTAAGGTCGATGATAGCTTCGCTAGCTCGAAAAAAGTCTTCATGCAGAATGATCTGTTTTGGTTCCGGTGGCACGACGATGAGATGGTTGAACCTCTAACCGCTGATTATAACCATATGTTCCACCATACCATCTATGCTTAAAAGGAAGAAAGGCATAAGAAGTACGCCGGTACGCAGCACCCATACTCCGCTGCCGTGCAACCACCACCAGTCGGGCTAAGGGTCTCCCCATCCCTACGTAGTCTCGAACTCGCGACCTCGGGATTACAAAGCAGGCTTGTCATCCATAAGGCTACGGGCCGGCCGGCTACCTTCACCACCATGGAACACGACTGCATCTTAACCCTATTTGTGGCTGAGTAGGGAAATCGTGACTTCTGTAGTCATCATCACCTTTCGGTTTTTTCTTCATATGTACCCATTTGACAGTTACGGCGCAACTGACCGAATTGGTTCACCTTAATGCGCATTACAGTCCACGAACATATATGCTCGGCAAATCCATACATGGCCCTAGGCCTTTGCATTACCTAAATTCACCGAGGTTGGACAAATGTCTTGGCGTAATACTGACACAGTAATCATGTTAAACGAATGTTAATCGGAACTGTGAGGTGTTTTGTGACATTGCACCTCGCATCTAATTGTCGTACACTTGAAGGGATCTTCTCACATACACATGCAACTCGGATATGTCAAGTTTGATGAGCCGCAATGCCTAAATAGGTTTGGCGGAAGTTGGTACTATATGACCCCGATAGTTGGTGATTCTCGGATTATGCGTGATGTTTAATGCCGTGGGAATTTCCCAGCGCATAAAGCAGGCTATGGCTTCCCCATTAGCACATACACCATTGGTTTCTACAGGTCATTCCGTAGGCGTCGCATATTACCACGTCCATTACGTGTGTTGTGGAATTCTTGATGGTGATTAAATTCGGCTTGATATACGTTGACGCAGCTGAGATGTCGAACTCCAGGATGATTTGAGCCACTTTGCGACGAAATGTGTTGCTCGGTTGGTTTACGACATCGTTGTGCCTTGCACAAGACTTCAATATATGTGATAGTGCTTCTTTTTGTCCGCATCCGCCCTGGCAGTGAGGAGCGGTTGCATATGAAGGTTGCTCATCCTCGAGCACCGGCCTTTTGTTAACAGCACATCTTTTCTAACTTGGTTTCCTCTGATATAAAGTCTGGGGAGAATTCTCGGGGTTTCTTATGCATTTGTGAGACGCTGGTGTCGTGTTTACCCGACGAAGCAAGGATCCCTCTACAGACTGTAACGGTGAGTTAATCAATGCTTCCTTCGCGTCATTTTTGTCAAAGACGACCCGTGATTCCCATTGCTCACGCGTTTCTTAGAGAGGCGTTGGATGGTTGCCACTGAAGCCTTCTAGCTAAAATTTTGGTAGGTAGGCGTTCTAGGCCATCCTTCCGAAGCAATGGGATCATACTACAAAGGCACAGAAACCTTAGACCACAATCCTCAGTGGATGCATGAAAGAAGGCGACGCTGTTATCTTAGGGTGTCGCAGCCATTTTCGTATACTTGCCCGCACCCATTGTTTCGATGGTCTGCCGGTGGACCATCGCCAATTTGAGGCAGCGTGTATGACGTGGGAACACATAGGTTCGTAATGTGTCTGTGCGCTGGTAGGGTTTGACAGGAGCTTGAGATGTCTCCTGTAGCTATGCTTTGAGTTGGTTGAACGAGCTCGGCGTGAGCTTACACTTCCAATCAAATGTCAGTCTAACTGGAATTTCTCGGATGGCTGGATCGAAGTGATCTGGAGGACGCAACAGGTAACTGTATAGCGTACAAAATGGACAATTTTATTTCTGATTGGAGGATCATTTTGAAATACATGTTGTATGAATGGTATGCTACGCACGATCTCAGTGTGGACCGCGATTCCCATTAAAGTGAATCTTGGTCCAATTGATCAGTAGGACCGTAACTGATGACGCAGGTAGATATAGGGTGTTTCCCGCCCGAAAATACTATACTCCATGATGCGTTTCGACCTTATTCGATCTCATCACATATAGGTAGCAGTCCTCGTACCCGCGATGTTAGTTGTGATCGCTATGTATAAGCCACCAGGCCACGACGCGCAACGCTGAGCACAACGGTTAATGACTTATTGAAGGGTCATTTTGAAGTACACGTTGTGTGAATAGATTGCGACATGCAATCTCAAGGTGGACCGCGATTCCCATCGAAGGGAACCTTGGTCATATCGATTACTGGAATCGTAACTGACGAAGCGGTGATATCCAGTACTATCCAAAATGACTTGAAATACTGTTAACTCGGGTTGATCGTTCCGGGTTTCACCTATGCACCGAGCTTCCCAAGTGGATTGCAAACATTTCATCACGAAACGAGGCGACTTCCTCACTGCGCTATTGGTTCGAATGCTGTGCGGTATTTTGGTCGCCCTTTTGTACTCGACCAGCAACTAACTTTTAAACTGACCTCCTACATCTGTGCCCCATGAACTCCAGCCGTTTGCCCAAAGTCTGATAGACACGGGCGATTCTCTGTGGTGGTCGTTCTGTTGATGGCTTCTTTGGCTGCCCACGACGGTTTTCAGTCCGTTTTATTTCTCTCCATCTTAACTTTTGGCAAACTGGGTCAGTGTCCACGCGCATGTTTATCGAGTGCTTCGTCAAGTACCACGCTTCGAGGAACTTCCTTTTCGTTTATCGCCTTGTGCTATGACCTCTGTTTTGTTCCAATTGAAGCAATGCCCTTCGTCCTTATTCGATGAAGGTTTTGTGTCCTTGTTGACAGCCTCCATCCTGTCTGACACATATAATTCTTATCACAGTCTTGTCATTATATCTTGTACACCACCTCTCGTCTTTCATGGGCTCCAGGTTTGTCTTAGGGTTTCGGCAGGGTTCTCCTCAGATTAACAGTTTCTATATAAGCCCTATAAAACCGTGATGTTTAAATAATCTTGCCGTCATCTTCATATATGCTTGAACGCTTCTCTTTGCTGCCGTTTAGGTAGGCTGAGAGGTGGTAGCTTTGTTATTTAGACATCGGCGGACGAAGCTGTGTGGATACCCGTTTAGGAGAAATGATTTGCACAGATAACTTTCTTATTTCTGCCGTCGCAAGAGTTCTAAAATTTGTCTTAATTCTACGAAAGTGAGTTCGCACACAGCTTATTTTGTGACACTTCGGGGGATTGCTGTAGTAGTTTAGAATCTGGTCGGTGTCTGTTCCTTTCCCATATACCGATATTTGCAACTCTCCGTCAATTGTTCTGCTGTCTAACACCTCCAAGGA